TTCAGGAAGAAGAGCGATGGTTTTCTGTTGATAAGAAAGCGCTAAGTCCAGTTCTTTCTTATGATAGTAAACTTCGGCAATTGATATGTATGTGATTGCACTATTTGCATCTTCACTATGTTTCTTCCATATTCCAAGTTCTTTTTCATAATTGATCAAAGCATCCTCATCCTCGCCGAGCATTTCTGCAATCTTACCAAGTCCATTGTAACAATTTGCTGTGTCGCCATCATTCGATTGGAACTCACTCAATAGGTGTTGGAAATATTGTTTGCCTTTATCATATTCACCTTGGCTGTACAACAGGAAACCCGGTGAAGTAACATCGTCTTCCCCTCCTGTTATGATCAGCACATTTTTCCATGAATAATTATTCCCATCGGATAGAGGCATTCAGTCCTTTAATTCTTCTACAAGACGAATATCGTTTTCCAATAATTTAATATCTGGATGATTCAGAGGTAGCGATTTTGACCAGATATTACGTGCTTTGTTATAGCATTCAAGTGCCTTCTTACCATCACCTTTCTTATGATAGGTTGTTCCCATATTTCTATATGTAACTCCGAAGTGAACATGACTGGCGGGTAGGTCTTTCATACCGATATTTAACGATTTTTCATAGTACTCGATAGCTAAATCGAATTTATTTTTACCACTATAAATATTAGCCATTTGACGGTATATGTCTGTTAGATGAGGATGATCTGAAGGAAGAATAATAAGGGCTTTTTGTTGATAAGAAATGGCCAGGTCAAGTTCATTTTTCCAGAAGTGACCTTCACCAATTCTCATGTAACTTATTCCAATAGGTTCCAGTGCACCAAGTTTCTTAAATAGCTGAAGTGCCTTATGATAATAAACTAATCCTTCATCATATTCTTTCAGTTTTAATGCGATCCCACCAAGTCCGCGAAAGCACACACTTCTATCCCAATCGCTCAATGATGGTTCATTTAATAATTGTTGAAAATATTTTGTTGCCTTATGAAATTCACCTTGTCTATGCAACAACCATCCAAATGAAGTTATATCATCACCTACTTCTTTCTTCATCTGTGACATCAAATCTTTCAATTCAAAGCTATCTTGATTACATAATAACAAATGAACAGTCCATATTTGTTGTCGTTGACTATAATCTACTTTTTCAATTCGAAAGATTGCACCTAACATTACCAAGATTTCATCTTCACTTTGAACAGTACTTAACTTGCATATATCCACAAATGGTTTTGTGTTTGGAAGACGAGTATCAATTTTGAACTTAAACAAAACTCGTGTTAATAACTCGGGAACAGTACACGTGCAAATCGAAAATGAGCCGCTGTTTGCAGAACCTGCTTGCTGGAACGACCATCTTCTTCCTGTATTTTTGGTTTCGGGACTTCACTCTTTAATACTGGATGTGGTTTATGGATGCGCTCAAAGTATATTTATTGTAATTTTTCGTTTCTCACTAGGTCAAAAATGTCTTTACACAACCTGATGACCTACTTCAACAAATAAAGATTGATCAACGTATGCGTGAACGAACAGACGAGACATCACTTGCTATGAATTTTTACACTCGTACCGAAGGTGGTAGTGTCAATGCACAACAACAACGTGATTCTAGAAATGCTTCATTCATGTACTTTCTTCTCTATCGATATTCTATTAAAAATGCCACGTAACGATGAAGAAGCAAAAAAAGAATTAATTGATGTTTGGAATGAAAATTGCGGTGGAAATGAAAGCAATTTATCCGAACAACTTACTAAAGAGTATAATTGTTATCTGAATTTGCCTCAATCAAAAGATTCTATTCTTCGTGTCTACCGTGGTCAAGCAATTGCACTCGATGAGTTGAATCTGATAAGAGAAAATAAAGGTGAATTCATCTCATTCAACAACTTTTTGTCAACAGGTACGAACAAATCAACGGCTCTC